TCTGTTGAGCCAAGGGGCTATAAGGGGCATCGTGCGAGGAGCTGGCACAGCCTCCTCCTGACACCTCAGGTGACCAGTCGGCAGTCGTGACCACAGATCCCTGGAGATGGAGACCCTGTTCCTGACCGTTGTGCTGGGTCTGGTCGCTGCCCTGCAGGCCCAGGACCCCCTGTCCTTCACCTCGGAGGAGCAGGATGTGAGGCTGGGCCGGCGGGTGGGTGTAGGAGAAAGGCCGTGGGGCCTGTTTTAGGAGACATCATTTAAGGTCATGGTTATGACCCTGTGCTCCTGGCCTGGAGCGGTCAGAGGACGGACAGGGGATTCTGTTATTCTGCCAGCAGACACGGCCCATCCGGGGGCACAGGGCTGGAGCAGGGCAGTGGGTTTGGCTCAGGGGTCCTACTGCACTGACACCCAGAGCCAAAGGCCTTGCAGGGCAGGGCCCTCTGGAGTGAGGGCGCACCCTGTACCGGGCCCAGTCCCAGCAGAAAGTGGTTCCGTGGGGTGGCAGACACCTTCTGCCTCCATTGGGGGCCTGAGGTCATGAGTTCTGGGCTCGCTCTAACTGAGCACAGAGGTGCGGATGTGCGGGAACCCCGCCTGCCTTTGGGGGCTGCAGCCGGGGCCCCGGGGTGTGTGCCTGTGGCTGCAGCCCATGTGCAGGGGACATAGAGGAGAGTCTGGGCTGGGCCTGAGGAGGACGCACGTCTTGGCCTGTTCCAGCTCACAGGGACCTGGTACGTGAAGGCCCTAGTGACTGACAGGGAAGTGCCGGAGGGAAAGAGGCCCAGCCAGGTGTCCCCTGTGACAGTGACAGCCCTGGAAGGTGGGGACTTGGAGGCCACGTTCACCTTCATGTGAGTGTCACCCCCCCCGGCCCCTCAAGTCCCCTTACCTCCCCCTCCCCCATCTAAGTTTTGGGTGTTGGTGTAAAAGGTCCCCCGGACTTTGTGCGGAATCGTTCCCAGGTGGCATCCTAGTGCTCAGGCGGTGGGGACATTATCGGGCTCATGGGGTTGGGGCCGATGTGCCAGGTGAGCTGAGACTGGCTCAGGTGTGTCTCAGAATCACTGCCACATGACTCCTGTTTTCCAGGAAGGAGGGTCAGTGCCACCAGAAGAAAGTCCTGATGCAGAAAACCGAGGAGCCGGGCAAATATAGCACCTGTGAGTCCCGGGCAGCTGTCCCCAGCCCACCTGCAGGGCAGGGCATCTCCTGCACAGTCTTTCTGCCTGAGTGTCCCTGCCTCATCCCCCTCCCAGGAGGGGCTGACATCACCCTCCCAGGGTCTTGTGGCCCTGACCTGAGACACCAGGTGTGACAGGTTGAGTATCAGGGAAGCTGAGTTGGATGAGCAAGCTCTGGCTTCTGGTGACTCTATGGCCTGGGTGGGGACCTTTCTGGGAGGGGGCTCCTCCCCCAGTGTCGAGGTCCTTGGCTGAGGGGAACGGCAAGGCCAGGACTCAGGCTGGCTGGCTGCCTGGGGACCGCCAAAACATTCCAGAGTGCCCCTTAAAGAGGTGTCCGGTGCTTTCTCCAAAAGGAAGACACTAAAGTTCTATTTTCTCTGTCATCTTAAGATGGGGGCAAGAAGCTCATGTATCTACAAGAGCTGCCAGTCAAGGGCCATGAAATCTGGTACTGCGAATGCCACCACCATGGGAAACTGCGCCGCATCGGAAAGCTCATGGGTGAGGGGCCCTGGAGACCTGCGTCTCCCACCCACATGTCTCTGTTGCCAGAAGCCAGTGGAACCAGCATCAGACACGTGCTCGGGGGTCATAGAAAGCCCCTGCACTGGGCTTCCTGTGCTTGGAACCCTGTGCTGCCCGGTGGCCAATCCGAGCTCCCCGAGTGGGAACCAGGTGGACTGGGTGAGGCTTGTCCGGGACAGGGCCAGACATGACCCTCGGTGACCTGACCACTCACGAGGGGTTCACAGATGCT